TTTTTTTTTTTTTTTTTTTTAACATGTTTAACATCAATATGTGGTCAAGAAGACCAGGGTTGGCAGTCACTTTTGTTGATGAGGTATTGTTCCAGATCTATGTTTATAGTTTTGGTCCCTCATTGAGTTTACTTCTTGATGATGTTGAGACTTATGGAAGAACAGTGCCGCTTAGATGTGCTCCGGAATAAAGGACTACAGCCGTTATCAGTGTCCAAGAGATATGTTGGCATTTACCAGATGACTTTTTTTGAAGTTGTGGGTCTTGCGTTTGTTTCTTGGCAAGCCTGCCACATCTATTCGGTTACCCCAGGACAAAGAGCCTTGTTTTGGACAAGCGGTGTGGGGTGTATTGGGAACTGCAATGGGGTGTCTGACAGGCCTTCATTATTTCATGCACAATCGTGCCAGCAACATGAACTGGCGGGATGCTCAATGAATCCTTCTGTGTCATGAGCCCATGATGTAGCAACCATGCACCACATGGCGCTCGCGGTTTGGGATCTGCACAGGGTCGGACACTTAAGGACTTAGGGTGCTACTGTTTTGAGAACTTCCCACCCAAATCCAAGTGAGCCTGACTTGGGTCTGTTCCTGTCCTCAATCAACCCTGCCTTCCAGCACTGAAGTTACAGCATCAGCCCTTACTAGACTCCATCAGTGCTTTAACTTTTTCGGGTTCGTTAGGCGTAACGGTTCGGACAATTCAACTCTGGAGCTCAGTCCAAGGCCGAAGATTGCAGACTCTTGGGTGCCATTTTGTTGTGAAATATATCTTCGTGATCAGCGCCAGGGTTACTGTGATTCGAATCACCGTTAGTTCACTGCAAGGTTCTCTGGTTCTTCCTAACCCAGCATCTCTTGGACCTGAAGCTCTAAACAGCACAAATGCGTACGACACAAGTGAAGATTTGAGACAACGCCTGTCCAGGTAAAGATCGCATGAGCAGATCCAGTACAGTGGTAGCACGAGGAGGAGTAGGAGGATAAGGAGGAGTAGGGGGAGTAGGTGTCATCATGGTGGTGGTGGAGGTGGTGGTGGCAGTAGTAGCATTTTTAGCAGTAGTACAGGTAGCAGTGCAGTAGTAGTAGTAGTAGTCGTCGTCGTCGTCGTCGTCGTCGTCGTCGTCGTCGTGGTGGTCGTCCTCCTCCTCCTCCTCCTCGTCGTCGTCGTGGTGGTGGTGGTGGTGGTGGTGGCGGTTGTGGTGGTGGTGGTGGTGGTGGTGGTGGTGGTGGTGGTGGTGGCGGTGGTGGTGGTGGTAGCACCGGAAATTGCAGACGTGGTCGTGGCCGCTGTAGTGGATGATTGTGATTCTTGCCGCATTCCAGCATGTGCCGCCATTTAAGGGAGATGTGCCGGGAGGTCAGCCACAGTGTCTAAGCCACACAGTTGTGCAAGGGTGCCCAGTTTTCCTAGCTAGCACCAAGATATAGAGGCCCATAAGGATCCCAGCGGCCACCACCTGGATTCACTTTCTTTTTCCTTGTTGAGAGGTATGTGTGGAGCCCTCGAAGCAGAAGTCCCTTACCCTGGCGACTAGGGGTTACAACCTAGTTCCCGTTACGTACACGGTCGGTTGGTTGAAACAGGGCCGCAAACTCTAAACCCCTAAATCCCCAAATGCCAACGCCTCAAGCTGCCAAAGCCCTAGAGCCATGCAGTCCCTGCCTCCGCTCTGTCGCCTTGCCATCCCTGCCAGCGTTGTCGGCGCTCGCTGGACCCGTGCTGACGTCCTAAGGCCTTGCGAGTGTGAGCTGCGTTTGAAGGGCCAGGACAGGGACCTGCTTGCTGCGGATTTCAACAGACACCTTTCGAATTGAAAGTGTCACATTGGCCGGCAACTGAATATCATCCCCAGCCCTAGATCCGCGAGGAGTGGAAGCATCCTTCCACCGGTGATGGCCGGCAGCGCCTTACCCTGGAGTCTGCGGCGCGGTGTGTGTCGAAGACGGCGCCGCGACTGGTACCTTGGCCTTCTTGAAAAAGGGTTCGAGGGCTGCGGATTTCGGGTTTGTCGGTTTGAGGTTCGAAGAGTGAGGATTCGAGGTATTGGGTTCAGGACTTTATTCTTACGGTTTGGGTTCTAGGATTCAGTGCTGCTGCTCAAAAGTCAGGGAATTAAGGGTTAATGGCTTATGGGATTTCATTCGGATTTTTGCGGGCTTTTGTTGGTGCTCAAGAGTCCACGAGGCTTCGAATGTCTGCCCAGCTTGGGCAAACCATAGGTTGGAACGTGGACTCCGGTACAATGTGTCCAACCTCAAGCCTATAGGTAAAGCCCTGAACCTGAACCCTTCAACCCCCAAAACTTGATCCTTTGGCCTGACATGCTCCGAGACCCGCATCGCAGGTACAGCCCCCGGTGCGGCACGATTGCGGGGACGATGCTTTCTTCCTGGCTGCCAGACTCACCTTCGCAATTGTTGAAAAGAGGCTTAGGGACGGAACATCTAGTCGAGGGTGTAGGGCTGAACGTTAAGGTCTAGGGCTCTCTCGTCTCAGGATTGGCCTGATGTGTTCCTAAAGCAACAGAAGACGCTGAAACGAATTTCGGGCGCGTTTCGTATCAACCTCAGCCTCAGACACGATGCACAGCACGCGCTGCTACAGAGCCTCAAGAATACTGTGTGGATGACCTTTTTTGACCCCATGCCCGAACCTCCATCCCCGGAAGCTTTCAAACTGGAGTCCTGAGCATTGAAAACGGCATCTCAGAAAATGCCAAGGCTGGGGGCAAACAGACGTTGACTGTCGGCGTGGCAGATGGCATCAGGGCACAGTTTCAGATAGCATTGGTATTGAGGTATGCCAAGTGACATTTTTCCTGTGACCATCGGTATTTCTGGAACAAAAAAACCCTAATGCAGCTGGTGCTCATGAGTCAGTAGTCACTTTTTTTCTTCGTCTTACGATGCTCTCGCTGCTTCTTCGTCTTATCCCCTTCTGATCCTGGTGAGAATTCTCATCAAGGACTAAGGCCCTACCTTCGATCTGCAAGCCTAAACCTGGACCTAAACAAAGGATTTACGTCAAATCCCGCTCATCCAAGGCGTCAGCAGCTGGGCTCGCCATGGCATTAACCCGGCGCTCTTTGCGTGGGAGCTGATGGTGCGCTGTGAGGCTGCGGCCCAGGAGCCGTTTAGGGGTGTCGGTTCAGGGTTTGGGGATTAGACTTCGGGTGCGGGTTTAGATTGGGGGTCCACCGGGTTGGGCCAGAAGGAGTCCAGGAATCCTGTAACTTTTGGGAGTTTTCTGGATCTGGGATTAGGCTTTGAAACCCAGGTGGCTTGGGTTCGAAGCCTGGTCAAGAACTGCAAACTAACCTGGTCACTTGAGCCATGAAGGTATGCAGGATTTAACAAGGGTTTAGGGTTCAAGGTTGAGGGCTGCTGAGAAGTTTTCGGAAGCAAGCGCACCGACGCCTGAACGCAAGTGTTTCGAGCATGATACTGTTAGCATCTTAGGGACCTGAAACCAGCGCTCAAAAGAAGGGTTTCGCAGAGCCAGGTTTCTTGGACGCTCCCATCTTTCCCATCAAGACACCACAGTCCATGCAAACAAAATACCCAATATCTCTGCAAGGCTTTATGCAACCTTCACAGGAACCTGAACCTTACACGCAAATCCTAAGGCAGTTCAGCTAGCCAAGAAGCCCAGCACCCTCACTCTGAACCCCAGTCTTAGACAGAAGCTTGAAAGTTTGTCCCGATGTAATTGTAACACATTGTACCGCAACACCCCTTGAACTTACACCCCATACGGTGCCGTGCAGACGAGGACGGCTCCCTGGATGCTGGTGAGATCCTGACGGAAGGCTTTGAAACTGTCATCCGTGAGAGCAGCAGACATCTAGTGACTTGCATCGCTGTAAGATTTTTTTTTGGTGGGTGTCTTTCCCGGCAGTCTATGCGTTCAGGGTTGATGTTTTGGTGTTTTGGAAGCACAGCAGAGTTGAGGACGTTCAGTTTTAGGTTATGGGTTGAGGAAAGATTTTTGACTGCATTCTGACGTGTCCCGCAGGTAGGAAGTAGCACGGCTTGCATTGCATCGCTAGACTGCAGTGCTGGGGAGCTGGATGTTGCGAATCTGGGCGACACTTGGGAAGAAAAATGGTTCAAGTTTTGATCAGCGGTTCTATGTGCTTTAGCCCAGGAAGCTTCCGCCACAAACCTTCAAACACAAAACTCTACGTCACGTCTTCAAACTTAAAACCCTAAGTCCTTGAACGACCCTGACCCTAAGTCCAAAAAGAACAAGCAGCAGAACCGCAGAGCTTTTCTCATCACTTCGCTTCTAAACTCGGCTCAGGACAGTGGCGCCCTGGTAGTCCGGCCTAATGGACATGTTTGCCTGGAGACCAAGGATCATGGGGTTTGGGATTGGGCTTTGGAGCTCAGGGTTGGGAGGAGGATCACTGGCCTTTTTATCTACAGAGTGTTGGAGGACTCCCAAGTGTTACCTTGCAAGAACTAAGCCAGCAAGCATGCACCAAGCACTCTCGAGCTATATGTAATCCCTAGTATAATCTTGCCAGGGGACTTCCTTCGTAAACACTTTACCATGCAGTCAAAAAACATTCTGAAGAGGAGCAGCAGCACTATTTCAACTGCCCCTATCAGCTGGTTTGCGTGCCGCAAGTGCGTGCCGGTTTCATGAGCGGAGGCGATCTTCCCGCAACTGGGACGTTATGGACATATTGTGTGGGTTGTTCGAGCTGCTGAAGTATGTGCTGGTGGTGCGTGGTTCTTTTGCAGCCGAGTATCTAGCACGTAAGACTCAAACCTTCAACCGAAGGGGCAAAAGTAAAGTAATAGTTTCGATCACTCTGCCGAAGCCAAGGCGAGCAGCGAGAAATACTCGACACAGGCGGCGCTGTCTGGAAGCAGTGGGATTGGGGGGAAGTTCGTGCCTAGGTGCTTGAGGAAATTTAGGGGATGTAAGGTTCCTTGCTCACGACCTTCTCTGCACGGACCCCGAAAATCTGTCAGATGTGGGTTTGGTGGAAACCTCAACCTCAAGCCAGAAATCCTAGCTGCTCCCCAGCTCTGACAGCTCTGATAAGCCCAGAGCCCTCAACCCCAAGCTCTGACTTTGAGCCTTGATATCGTCACAATTGTGATCACTAAATTAAGATCCATTGTTGCTAGACCCAGGCCGAAATTCCCAAAATCTGAGCTTTGCATTTTTGTTATCAATTTTGCGGGGCACTTTTTGTAGGTGAGGGCCGGAGATGTCTTGATCTTGGCCACTGATGGCTTCTTCGACAATGTCTGGAAGGAACGTGCGATCAGCGTCGCTGGGTCCTGTTTATCCTCGCAAGTTTAGGGGTAGGTTTAGCAGTTTAGGGGTAGGTGTTCAGTGCTTAGCGGAGCTGCTCCGGGATACATGCTCGCGCAGAGATAGAGCTGATAGATTACAAGAATCGCTAGATTTCACCCCCACTGAACTCTGAAGGGCCTTATAGGATTTCATGGACAGAGCATCTCTGGCTTGCATAACTTTGGAAGGTGATGCTTTTTAGGCTTTCTGGCCCAGAGTTGCAGGGGCTCCAGTGGACGTGAAATCTGTATTCGGGAATCCCCGGAACCTCTAGACCAGTTCTAATCACCAACAAACCCAACTCTCCCATTCCCCATAAACTCCCTGAACCCTGCAACCCTAATACCACTCTAAGCCTCCAAATGAGGCTGGAGTGAAGAAGCTCCAGGTCTTTTTGTTTCACAAGGTGCCCCCCCCTTCCCCTCTCAGCCTCAACTTCTTGGACTCCGCAGCCCGACAACGTTCCTGCAGCGTATCTCCAAAAGTTTTGACCGAGAGCCCCCTGTCAACGATTGTAGGCCTTCTGAATGTCCTGAGGCCTTAAACCCTCAAACCTGCACCTTCAAGCATGTAGAGGTGTGCCTTGTTGTATGTTTAACTGCAGAGCCGTCCTTTTGCCCCAAGGAGGTCCTTTCCATGTCCTCAGCCTCTGCGGCGGAGATTGCCGACCGCCTCGTCCGGGTGGCCTACGCTGCCTCCCAATCCATGGACGAGCGGCCCGGGCTTCCTTTTTGAAGGGTTAAGGGTTTCGGTCTTTATGGATTGCAGTAGGGTGAGATGGGGCTATGTAGGCCTACGAAGAGACATGTTTGTGCTGTTGAGATTTGAGAGGGTTCTGAGTGCTTCCAGATTTTTTGGAGTTGGTACGAACTGGGCCTTGTCTAGAAGGTCTTTTGATTTCTTGCAGTCGTTGCAAAAGTGTATTCAGCTTTGCAAGCGTTCCTTTGGTGGTCCGGCGACACTCTGGGGTTTTGCTGGATCTTTCAAAGCACTTCACAACACTTTCCATGATACACCCGTAGTGAAATATTTGCAGCACACTTTCAAGCGCTGAAAGCAGCCTCAAGGGCAATCGTCGAAAAAAGAGAAAGAGCTCTCTCAACTCTCAACACCACAGTGCCTGGAACCTTGCATCTGAAAATGCTTTGCATCTTCATTTTGAGAAGTCCTCGTTTTCAAGCCCCACGCCGTAAAGCCAAGGACCCCGTTCGGTCGTGCTGCAGCCCAGCACGGCATACGCAGCCTGACTGCAAACATTAGCCGCTAAGAGGTTCAGGTGGATTCAGGGCCATGTCCAGGGTGTAAAGGTTCTGGGATTTCTTGTATAGTGGGTCAGATGCTGATAAGACTTTGCGGATGTAGGGATTCAGAATTCAGAGGGTGAGGAGCTTTGCTGGGGGTTTCGGGCTAAGGCGTTTGTACTTGAGGGTTGCTTGTGTAGGGTTGACGTACTTAGGGTTCACAGTTTACAGCGATGTCGAGTTGGCAGACTGGAGTATGGTGGCATGGGTTTGGAATTTGAAAAGATGAAGGGTCTTTGAGTTCATGCATGCATCGACTTTGATTAGAGGGTTTTGTGGGGTGGGTGTAGTTACTTAGGAATGCTTTGCGGGCAAAGGGTTTTCGTAAAGTTAGCAGGGACCAAAAAGTTAGTCATGGCTCCGTCAATGGTGATGGGGGTGGTGATGTCGGTTGTGGACCTAAACTCTGGACCTCTTCTTCCAAGGCAGAGGCTTATACGGCATAGGCACAGCGTGTATCAGAACTGTTGAGTCGTGCAGATTTCACCTGACATTCGTTCTTCGCACTTCGCTACCAAGATGCCACGGAACGCTTAGCAAGTGAATCTTTAAAGACACGTCACCATCACTTACTCAGTCTGTCTGGCACTGCAGGTAAGTCAGTCGCTTGGCTTGTCGTTGGTCCGTCAACCATTTTGGTTCTTGCAGCATGCTGTATGTTGTAATTGAGCCCTGCGTTCAGTCTCCTGTGTGTCGATTTTTCGGGCTCAACTAGATGTGTTTTAAGCCAAACAAGCCTGCCCCCTAAATTAAAGCTTTCGATCTTAGCTTCCAGCACGGCAAGGGCCACTCGCCGAACATGATAAGCTATTTCGAGGCCTTGGGAGGCAGCACCCAAGCTTTACAGTCCCAAGCCCGAAGCTCACACTTTGAATGCGCCACTGGTACCTGAACCGTGGTTGTATTCGTTCTGCAAGCTGAGGTCACTCAGGCGGCAAGCCCGATGATATCACCGTCCTTGTTGCGCGAGTCACACATTTCCGCAGTGAGTAGTGGCATATTTGGGGTAATGGGGTCCTACTCGCGTTTAGGGATGCACACAGAACGCGCCTATGGAGATGTAAGTAGGTAATACTATCCATCAACCACTGCGCACATTACGTGAGGTGGAATCTCCTCAAAAAGAATCTGAGCACAACCTTCCATGAACTTGATTTGACTTTTAGGAGGGGATTCACCTGGTTCCATCACACTTCCGCAAGCGAAGTGACGTTCCTTTCCAACCAGCGCTGCGTGAGAAAAGCCTGTGCCATTGCATGATCCACATGGCTACTTTCAGCGAGCGAGGCATGAAGGGTCAGGATTTTGGTGAAGTTCCCTGCACCGAGTCCTAGCTTACATCTTCAACCTCACTCAGGGCCCGCAGATTTAATGTGTGCCTAGCGCTTCATTGAGCAGAAGATTTTTAACGGATCGTCAAGGACTGACACGAGGTGTGGTAGAGTTCCAACTATATCCACCCGCGTGTTCGTGTTTACAATTGGCCTTGAAGGATGGTAGCTCATGTTCTACTTGGCAGTCACCTTGTTGGTAGGTGTACTCTTTGTATGAGGAACAACCAAATCGAAGATCAGTTGATGGGATTGAAGCTTGGTTTATAGGCTCTGGCAGGCTTTTTTTACCATGCATGAAACAATACAGTAGCTCACCCAGCATCTGACAGCAGATCACAATTCTGAACGTCAACTTCTCTCAACGCTGCTGCAAAAGAAAACTGGACTCCGACCAAGCCCAAACCCAAGGCCTTGAAGCTGCAGCTCTGTGCGGGGCGGGGGCCTCTCCTAAGAGTTAAGGAGGGGTGGTTTGAGGCAGAAAACCTTTTCGTTTCTGACAAAACTACTCTTCTGTGCGGCATCCGTTAGCCAGGCCATGGTTTGTTTTCTAGGCAGCCGGCAATGGTGATGTTTCTGGGGGTAGATGGGTTTTGGGCATTACGAGCCCAGCCCGAACC